CGAGATTAAGATCCAACATGACTATCGTTCAAATGTGTGTGTGTATATATATATATATATATATATATATATAGAGAGAGAGAGAGAGAGAGAGAGAGAGAGAGTTTCAATTTTGAGCTTCAAAGTAGTTTCTATTAAAATCGAATATCATTCAATGCGTTAAACTAAAAACAAAATTCAAACGAAGAGCAGATAATCAATCCAATTAGAAAATTCGAAAATCGAAAAAGGATAAAAAATTAGAGAATCAAGTGATCCTAGCTAATATTGTAGGTAATTATAGAGAGAGTTTTGATCAACAAGGTGATGATGGAGAGAGAATAAAATATTTTAAGAACTCTCTGTAAAAACACACACACATATGTATATGTGAAGTCAGCGGAAAAAGCTCCGGTGACCGGAGAAGATGAAAAGAGATGGTCGGGGAAGTTGTGGAGAGAGAAGTTTAAGGGCATGTTTGGTTTTAGATTTAATTATATTCAGGTTTAGGTTATCCCTATTTTATACAATTTGAGATTTATATTATCCTTCTACCAAACAAACCCCATTTTATACAATTTTGGACAAAATAGTCATTTTACATGGCCGGTATTATAATCATTAATTTATTCAACTGAAGTGAGGGTATTATCGTCATTTTACACCACCAGGGACCCAATCGCACCAAATTGATAGTATAGGGGGATTTTTTACCACACAGGGACTGATATGTATTATATCGATAGTAAAAAGGGGTTTTTTGCACTTAACCCAAGATAATATGATAATTGCATGCGAGTCTTTTACATTTTACAATAATAAGTTAGTTCCGAGTTATATTCAACTTTTAAAAAAAATTTAAAAAAAAAAAATTTCCTCCACCCAAATGTTAACCTTTTTATCCCAAGTATATGGACAGTTGCCAAGGTAAAATAACATTTAATTTATGTTCGTTAGAAGCAAAACATTTTATATTTTAATGTACTTAATATGAAGATAAATTTTGCGCATTTTAATGCATGTAGTTAGTACGAAGAACCACCACATAATATTTGAATGACATTTTTATATATAAAGTACCATATCCTTATGCGGATAGCAATGATGAATTTAATTAAAATAAAATTGATTGATGTGAAATGGGAGGAACTAATATTTTCTTTGGTTAACACGTCTCCCTCCAATTGGTAAAAGAGATTGGTGTCACCTACTTGGAAAATGAAGAGATTGTAACTCATACCAGTCAATCATTATCTCACCAGTATAGTGTAGGATTTGCGAGGGTAAAATGATTTGGAAAATTGTAAGTTATACGGCTGGATAATGATTTAAAAAAATTTCTTATTGTCAAATTTTTCCCTCAAAATAGTTAACAAAATTGGATTTGTGATAATAAACCACGAATCTTATGGATCCTGACATCGCATACATAAAAATAATCCATTTATCAATCATTATATATATACACTCTTTAAATAATAATTTAAAAAAAAAAAAAAATCATTTAGACTTGCATGTGTATACAAAATTAATAATAATAAATAAGGGTGGTTAGCAAAATGATATTCTCCCTCTTCAAAGCCTAGAAATTAATTATTATGCCAAGCTTCTGATCAATAAGATAGGAAAGTAATGAATAAGAAATTACAAAAAATAAAAAATAAAAAAAAAAATTACAATCATATTTTGATATATATATATATCTATTCAAGGGAGGCGATATTCGCACTCCACTTTTCTTCAATTGCACTACATTTTTTTTTTTTTACACAACTTAAATTTATACAATCATATTTTGGTAGATATATATATCCATCACAATCATATTTTGGTATATATATATATATATATATATATAATATCCATTCTGCCAACAACTTTTTACGCAACTTAAATTTTCTATTTTTTATTTTTTATTTTTATTATTTTTTTATTTGTCCTTCAATGCTATACTTTCCTTTCTTTTTGAAGGTCCTCTTAAATAAGATAATTTATTCTATATTGATAATTTTATTTTTGACAGTCAAAAGAGATAATTCATTCAATAGTAACTTCTATTTTTTTTTTTTTTTTTTTTTTTTTGTGCAAACAAAACAAATAATTTATTCAACAAATTTAAATTTTTTTTTTTTTAGCCCTATCAAAAGAGGTAAAAAAAACTTTTATGATTTTTTATGAATCACGTCAAAAGAAATAATTTATTCAGTAGAAATATAAATATATAATATATATTTTGTATCTTTATCAAAAGAGATAATTTATTTAATAAAAATATATATATTTTTAATTTTCTTTTTTCACACTTTTTATTTTTTTAATCTTAACAAAAGAGATAATTTTTTTAATAAATAATTTTTTTTTCTATAAAAAGAGATAATTTTTTTAATTGTTACATTTTTTTTTTTTTTTTTTTGGTCCAGTCAGAAGAGAATTTATTCAACATAATTTTTTTCTTTTTGTTCTTGGAAACAAATTATTATTCAAATTTTTGTTTTTTTTTTTTTAAAAAAAGGTCTAAAATATTAAATATTAAAAAAAAAATTTGAAAGTAAAATTGTGTCATTTAAAAAGTAATAATTATTTATTTGTAAAATTAAAGATATAAAAATCATTTTATATAAAATTGTAGTACATACATATACATAGAAAAGTAAAGTGCAAATCGGGCCTCCCCCATTAAATCTAACCAAAAATTATTGAGATTTTAGGTCCTGCCCTCTCTATAGTTCAAGATTAGTGTTCTTAGACCAATTATGATCAAATAACACATCCTGGAGATTTTATATATATGTTTTGTCTGCTAATGGCACAATTAATTAATCTAAATACAATCAATTACTTGATTCTTAAAAATTTTATTTTTTATTTTTGGTAAATAACTATTTATAGAAAAGGAAATTAATGAGGTTAGGTTGAACAACTTCACATACATCTGCATAAGCTAGCTTTAAAGGCGAAACCATTAATTACAATCTCACATCACACTATCACTATCTTCGGTCATGCAGATAACTTCATTCAAATCACACACACAAATCAATTCGTCCAAAAACTTTTGTGGAAACAAAATCGTTACCTTGTTCTCATGTGTATCGTAGTGAAGAAGAATCGAATAGCATCGAAACTCAGAGAAGGAGAATTGTTTTCTGGCTGTCGGAATATTGATTTTCCGGCGTCACCTACAGACCAAACCCATCAACCAAACTCATCACCTACAGACCCAACCCATCAACCAAACTTCTTCATCCTTACCGGCGTCACCTATATACCTAACCCATCAACCAAATTCCGGCGGCAAGCTCTCATCAACCAAACTCCGGCCACAACACCTGTCCAAATTCTGCCGTCGCCGCTTCCCTGTCGCCTTTGATACAGTGAGGGAGGGCTTTGACGCCGAACTGTGCAAAGGTGGGTTGGGACTTTGCGACTCGGTCCGAGATGGACTCAAAAGTGACAGTGTTGAAAAGAGTGGTGGGAGTTACGAGGAGGAGGATGAGATGGTTCAAGACGATTGCGGAGATGTGAGAGTGCAGAGAGAGAAAGTTTGGAGGAGAGAGAAAGCGGTAAATAAATAGGTTTGCAGCTTTAGGGGAGTATGTGTGAGAGAATGATTAGAGAAGGTGTTGATGTGTGCGACGGTTAAGATTGCTACGTGGTGGTCTCGGGGCCACGTGTACAAACAATGTGTATATATATATATTAACAAAGGGATTTTTTTGTTATTTAAAATTATATATATTTTGTATTAAAAATTTGAAGGTAAAAAGGTCAATTTACAGACAAAAAGTAAATTGAGGTGTAAGTGAAAATTAAAATTAAAATTTTCATCTAACTGAAATATGGCCTAATTTCAGGGGGTGTGAGTATAATTTACCCTTTTCTTTTTCTTTTTTTCGAAGACTTTATAATCTCTCATGTTAACCCATTATTCTCTTTCTCTGGTTGCGGTTTATTCCAACAAAGCCATTAAAAAATCCCAAATCAGAGTTTTATAAGGCAGTGGAAGGCAGACATAAACAAGATCATAGAAGAGATGTAACTAAAAACAATATGTGGACCACTTTGATTTTACAAAATTAGTCCCAAAAATTTGGCCAAAAGTGAAACATATGTACCACATGATATGTCACAAATTTTAACTACTGATAATATTGTGTTGGTATTTTATTAAATATAATATATAATTTTTTTTGGTGAGTTGGATAACTCAATTGGTAGAGGCACCTTCTTGAATAGTGTGAGAGTCCAGTTTGACTCACCAGGTAAAAATATATATTTATTTTTTAATAAATAAATTTATTTATAAACAGAAAAATATTTATTTATTTTTTTAATAAATAAATTTATTTATAAACACAAAAAAAAAAAAAAAAAAAAAGAAAGATAAAAGAATGATTTCCTTTAAGCTCTTTTTTTCCTTTAATCATTTCTTTTCCCACCGACCAAATCAATTAATTTATTTTTCAATCACCAGTACTCCATTTCCTCGCCCTCTCATTAGTCTACTCGAACGCATTGAGGTAAATGAGGTCAAATTTAAAACATAACTTCAAAATTTTCATTAATCTATATGTTCACTTCCCAGGTCAAATTTTATTTAATGAATTGAAAATTTTTGTTGGGTTTTAAAGGAGAGCAGATGGTTGAAACAAAGGCCCATAAGAAATGATAAGGCCCTGAATGTAAACCTGCTTTGTTAGCAATACCCTCGAATGAGGACATTTACCATTAGAGAGTTCGTCATCACTGGGCAGCAACAAATCAATAATCCATACATCTCACTGGTTCCCAAAGTCACAAACCCCACTCCACTTAATGAGTTTAGGCCCATATCTTGTTGCACTACCATCTATAAATGTGCCTTAAAACTCATTGCCAACAAGCTTAAACCCATACTTCCCTCCATCGTATGCCCATCCCGGTCAACCTTTATTCAAGGTAGGCGAATTGAAGATAGTATCCTAATAACACAAGAATTACTCAATGGATACCACATATCCATATGCTCACCTAGATGCACAATGAAAATTGACCTAAGGAAGGCTTTTGATACCAGTAATTGGGACTTTATTCAAGGTAGGCAAATTGAAGATAGTATCCTAATAGCACAAGAATTACTCAATGGATACCATACATCCATATGCTCACCTAGATGCACAATGAAAATTGACCTAAGGAAGGCTTTTGATACCAGTAATTGGGACTTTATTTTGGACACTCTCAAGCTCATGGGATTCCCTGCCATTTTCATAACTTGGGTGGAATCATATATAACCACTACTTCATTCACTGTCTCCCTCAATGGAGAATTCCATGGTCATTTTAAAGGAGCCAAGGGGCTAAGGTAAGATGATCCCTTATCACCATCATTGTTTGGGATTGCTATGCAAGTACTATCCTCCATCCTAAGCAAGATAACCTCCTCAAACCCCTTGAAGTACCATTAGAGATGTAAAGAACTAGCTCTTACTCATCTGATATTTGCTGATGATGTTATGTTTTTTTCCCATAGAAGTGTTCCCTCTTTGCAAACATTGCTTAGGGCCACAAGAATATTCTCTAACCTTTCTGGACTCCATGGTAACCAAGGAAAAAGCCAGATCTTCCTCTCTGGTGTGGCACTTGCAGTTGAATTTGCCGTTCTTAACATTGCTGGATTTGAGCAAGGGTGCCTTCCCATAAGATACTTAGGTGTACCTTTGATTTCTACCATGCTGAAAGATGTGGATTGCAAAGCAATCATTAATAAGGTTACAACAAGAATTAGACACTGGTCCTACAAACTTCTATCCTTTGCAGGAAGGGTCCAACTCATCAGATCCATCCTCGTTAGTACTCAAACCTAATGGAGTACCAAATTCATCCTTCCAATGAGTGTTATTAATGAACTCACATGCATTTTTAGAGCATTCTTAAGGTCTGGACCTGAGCTGAAGAAGCATGGAGCAAAGGTGAAGTGAGCTTCTGTTTTGTCTGCTGAAGAGGGCTGATGGCTTAGGTATACCTGAATTGCAATTGTGGAATATAACTGCTATCATGAAACACCTTTGGAACATCATCAAGGTTAAGGAAAACATGTTGTGGATCACATGGGTCAACACTTACTGAAAGTTTGGAGTATTTGGGAAATTGGTACTCCAAGTCAATGTTCTTGGACATGGTGGAAGCTGCTCCAGCTTAGATCTGCTATCAGACCTCTTGTCAAGCTCAAAATTGGTAATGGTCTGAAATCCAATTTCTGGTTTGACAGTTGATCACACCTTGGTCCTTTGCATCTTAGGGTCAATTGTCAACAAATCTCTTCTACCTCATTTGACAGTATGACCAAAGTAAGTGCTTTCATCACTGATTCTTCTTGGACATTCCCAACCACCATCACCAACATCATTCCTCAACTCTCCCTCCACAACCTCTTACCTCAGCCAAATTCTCTGATTCCTGATAAACTACATTGGATTCCATCACCATCAGGAAAATTTTCTATTGTTAACACCCTTAACTACCTCACACAATATATCCCCTCCCTCCCTTAGACACACCTGGTTTGGACTACACTAATGATCCCAAAACACTCATTCATCTTATGGCATGCCATCCAATCCAGACTGGCCACATTAGATAGGGACTGCACTTCTTACCTGAATACACCAAACCTGTGTCACCTGTGAAATCTGGTTCCAGAATCACATAACCATCTCTGCTTTCAGTGCTATTTCCATTCACCCATTTTGACATTTATACAAGCACGTTGTGGCTTTGACATTCTCCCCTCCTCGTGGAATGAATTGATCGCATGGGCTGTTCACCAATGGAAGGGCAAGGCGCTTGACTACAGAGCACATACTTCTAGGATGGCACTTACAACTATGGTCTACAACATCTGGTCAAAACGTAATCGAAGGGTATTCAAGAGGAAAAGTCTCTCTGCGAACTCCATTTTGAACAATTTGGAGGAATTAATTCGACTAAAACTCATTGTTGATCCTCCACTGGACTCTCCAATTAACAGGCAGATTATATCTGATTAGAGCATTCCTTGGTCCATGCTTCGTCCTCCCCCACGACCTCCAGACTAGGAATGGTCTCAGAAGCTCCACTTCCATGGTTGCGTCAACTGTTTGCCTCAATAGGCTGATCACCGGAATTGCGACTAACTGTCATGAATCATGGGTGTTTAATGGAGCAGGCTTAGCCATGTGGGTTGTTTGTGCCTGAGTTGTCCTTATACGGGCTGTCTTTAGAGTTATATTTGTTTTGGATTGGGCTTTGTAATTGCCTATCTCAGGCTTTGTATATTCTTCATTCTATAAAATTTACCTTTATCTAAAAAAAAAAAAAAAAAAATGGGGCCCCCATAAGAAAGGACCTAAGTAACAAGCCTTGCCTTGTGGTGGACAACCCCCAACATTGTCGTCTTTTACATTGTACAATAATAAATTAATAAGTTAGTTCCAAGTTATATTCATTTTCAAATAAAAAAAATTCTTGACCCAATTATTAACCTTATTATTGCAAGTATATGGAACAGATGACAGGGTAAAATAACATTTTAATTATGGTGATTTGAAGTTAAATTTTCACATTTTAACGCACTTGTTATGAAGAAAAACTTTGTACATTTTTAATGGCTTTAGTATGAATAATCAGCACACACAATTATTGTGACATTTTCATATATATATATATAAAGTAGCATTACTCTTGTCGGCTGATGCTGAATATAATAAATTTAATTAAAAAAAATGTTTCATGTGATATTGGAGGAAATTAATATTTCCTCTTGTTACAAGGAACGGATATAATCTTAATCTTAGGTTTTGGAGGGATCCATGGACACTCCCACACCTAGGAGGGATTGCATCGAGTAAAGAATTTCGATCAACAAATCAGTAACTTGATAACGGTCACTGTGAAATTTGGGTATCATTCATCAATCATGTATATATATACACTAACTTGTAAAAAAAAAAAATTGTATTATATGTAAAATTGATAATAAATAAAAGTTTATAGTATAACTTATACATATATGAAAATACATTGATAAGCGCTGAATATTTGCATATTCGAATCCTAAATATACGTATGTTAAGGTCTAAAGTAATACTTCTATCCATACTTAGACTGATATTTGACATGACTAGGGCAATGTTCTAGTACGAGGATAAGAGTTCCCTCTACAAATATAGTATGCACAAGACGTTCTTTTAACTATTGCATTGATGCTGCCACCCGCAAGCTATAAAAAAGAGAGACATGAATCAAATCAGAATCAACATGGTCAAAAAAATCCGATTTGAGCTCTGATTTTTCATTCCAAAAGGTTAAAACTTGAAATAGAATTTGAAAAGAGTTTTGAAGTTAAGATGTTGGTTTTTGAGGAGTTCTACCATACGTGCATACTGTAGAAAAACTGGTCATGCTAAGAATAGGTGCTTCCAGCTCTACCCATGTGATACTTGTTACCAAAATGATGTTATCCCTCTAAAACCAAATTAGTTATTACTTATTACTATCCAAAACTAAATAAAAATTTACAATAATATTTGATATAACCCAAATATATATATATACACACACACACACTAATTTAATTTTAAATTTCTTTTTTTTTTTTCAAATCGGAGTTTTATAAGGCAGTGGAAGGCAAATCATATAGAAGATCATAGAAAAGGTCTAACTAAAAAGAATATGCGGACAAATGGAGCATAACCTATATTAGTTTTCTTTTATTTTAGGATAAATTTGTAAATAATTCCCTGAATTATGTTTTGTGCATAAAACCCCTAAACTATCACATTTAGTAGTAAAATACCCCATTGTCTTACTTATTTTTCATTAAATGACCATAATACCCTTTATTATTGAATTACACTTGATATATTTTTCTTGTTAAAATAAATTATGAAAAAAATTCATACTAATTTGATGAAATATTCTCCATTAAATTTGCATAAGTTTGCCTTTAATTTTTTTAATTAATTATTTAAATAAAAATCTTAAATAGAAAATTTTGAAATAATTTAAGTCATTTCTTTATTTTCATGAATATATTGCATTAAAAAGAAGATATTTTTTATTTACGTAATTTATTACTTTTCATGAATATTGTTTGAAAAAGAAGATATTTTTTTATGCTAAATTTTTTTAGAGTGAGTATTATAAGTTTTATTATAATAAGTTAATCATTTTAGAAAATGATAGTTACAAGCCTACAAATTTATTTATTTTTTCCCATTTTTATAATTAATAGATACTAATTATAAAATTAAGGTAAATGGTATAATTAATATTTAAATAAGAGAAAATATAATAAAAAAATTATTTAATAAGAAATGACAAAATTAGTAACAAAGGGTAAAATAGTCTTTTGTGATGGGTTTGTCCTTAATTGCAACAAATCAATAGTTTAGGGGGCCAATCTTTAGCTCAGGGTTAGTTACAAAAAACCAATAATTCAAGGGATTTTTTACACTTTACCCTTTATTTTATGACCCGTATAAGGAGAGGGTTGTATGTATAGCCGGGTATTGCTCAATATAATTTTGGGCCTTAGGCCTTTTCATAGGTTAATAATATTTATTGCAATGAAATTCTTTGACATTAGAGCAACTCATATTATTATGGGTATAGTATAACAGCCGGGAGCGGAGCCAAAAATTTGAGGTTGGGGGCTAGGTTTGTACTATGTAATTAAAGTTTAAAAAAATTATACATTAATTATAAAAATTCTTAAATTCGAGCTTTTAAAAATATAGTTAAAAGAGTCCAAGTTAAAAAATTACTAAATTTTAAGAAGACATAAACTTTCAATTGAATTTACGGGGCAAACCTACAAAGTAATTAATATTTAGGAGTATAAATAAAAAGTTTACGAAAGTTTGGGAGGCCATGGCCACTGCTGGCCCACCCCTAGCTTCGCCCCTGATAGCAACATCCTTGAGGTTTGCCAAAAGGACATTCAGATACAAGTTACCCTATTTTGGGATAATGACATCCTCTTATGATATTTGCAAGCAAATATCATATATATATATATATATATATATATATATATATATACACCCCTTTGATCATTCCTGATTTTGCCACCTGATTCACTTATTTCATGAGCTAGCAAACAAATGTTCAACCATGTAAAAAGACTAATTTGCCCTCAAAAAGCCAAAGTATCAGAAGCCTTATCTTCATTTCAGACTACAGTTTTTGTCTGTCTAAAATTTATTCACTCCTGTGAAATTCTCTCTCTACTCCATCTCTTTGTTTACTATGTCCCACCTCGCCACCCTCTCTTTGATTGTCTTTGATCTTCAAAAAAGACCCAAACAATAGTACACCATGACACACTTCCTTCGAACCCATTTTCCTTTACAAAAATCAAACAAGTACACCATGGCATAGACCCATTTTCCTTCACAAAAATTATATGAAGCTTAGAAATTAGGGTTTATATGTGAGAGAGAAGATAATATGTTGGGGAAAGAAAAATCATGATTTATTCACTAGGTTTTTTTCTTTTTCTTTTTAATTCAAGGCAAGCAAGAAAGATTCCATTAATTGACCAAAAAAAAAGTAAAGTTACCAACGGGCCAGTGGTCTAGCGGTATCGGTTTCTTACCTCCCAAATGGAGGTCAAGGGTTCAAGTCTCAGAAGAGATATGTGTGTGAGTACCAACTAGGAAAAAAAAAAAAAAAAAAAAAAAAAAGAAGGTAAAGTTACAATCTAAAAGCATAGAATCCCTTATAGAAATGGAATTACATCACCAAAAATCATCTTCTGTTTGAGTGGAAAGCCATATTCGTTGGGTTTGATGGGTCTCTTTTCAATCACCGTGCCTTCTTAGAGAGATTTTCGCCTTTTTTTGGTTCTGCAA